GAATCATGAGCTTTCATGGGTAAAACCCACTTCATTGGATGAACTGGTTTGGAAATAACAGAAAAAGTACCTGTCGTTCATAGGAGCAGTGCTAATGAGGCTAATTAAGAAAGGGCCACTTCCACTTCCAGACCACTTAATTAGCTTCATTAGCACTGGTCTTACAATTGACAGGTACTTTTTTTGTTGTTGCTGTTATATGTGGCTTGGTTTCTGTTATTTCTAAACCAGTTCATTCAATGAAGTGGGTTTTACCCACAAAAGCTCCTGACTTTTACAATAAGGCAGCCAAAGAGGAATGTACAGTGGCCTTATAGGAGGCTACGTTTTCCTCCTTCTCTACCCATGTGTAAGGAAGCCAGCTTTTTCTGGATAGAGGGGTTTGGCTTGTAAAGATTTAAAATAGTTCAAGGTTTGTTTCATTCATAACTAACAACGTCCTTTCAAAAACCTCTGAAGAGACTTCCGACTGTGATGCCAGTAGGATCACACCAAACACTCCTTAATTAAAGACCAGCTTGGGGTTCTAACCATGCAGATCCATCCGTAGCCTGTTAAATTTTAATTCAGTACACTGGGAATATATTCATTTTGAAAGCCATATTACACCCGAACGTGTGCTACAGCTGGTAATGGCTGCAAGTGCAAACAACTTCAGATACACCTGGTAAAATGCAGTGTCATCTCCTTGACTGCTACAGTTACAGTGTCTGCTCCTTTACGCTATTGTGTCTCATAAAAGTGGAAGTGCCTAAGTAAGAACAAACAGTCCCAGTCTCTGTCCCGCTGGTGTGAAATATTATAATGCCCATGCTGCTCTGTTTTTCCTTTGCTGGACTTTTAGGGTGCGTCTACACAGCACCTTTCGCTCAAAATAAGCTATGCAATTTGCATAGTGCAAATTGCATAGCTCATTTTGAGTGTGTTTTGAAATAGCTTATCTTGTAATCTGGTGCTGTCTACACGGCGCCAAATTTCGAAATAACTCACTATTCTGAAATGCCTCTTAACCCTCGTGGAGCGAGGGTTAATGGGATGTCAGAATAAGCTGCCCATTATTTCAAAATCTATTTCAAAATAACGGGCTGCTTCAACAGACGTGGAAGAGCTATTTTAGGATACTTCCAGTATCCAGAAATAGCTCCGCAGTGTAGACGTACCCTCAGTATTCAGGAGTGAATTAGACTCAACTTGCTGCCCTTCTGCACCCTCTAATCTTAACAAGATGAATGACAATATCCACAATTCCCCTAAATTCCTCCTTTCATATCCCTCTTCTGTCTTTTCGCCACGCCGCCCATTCGTGCCCTGCTCTTGGGCATGGTAACCTTCAGTTCTGGGCCAAAGGGATGCTGCTGCCTATTCCGCAGGCTTGTCTAAAGTTCAGTTATTACTCCCTTAATAACCACCCCTATTGGGCTCATTAATAATTAATGGCATGCCTGGTGTTAGAGGAGAGGGCTGACGTGTTAATATTTTTACAGCGCTTGGATGCTGTAAAGCAGCATAGAAATGTTTAAATAGTCCTGCTGCCATGGCATTTCAGGCTTACGGGCAAAGAGAAGAACAGCGAGGGCAGTAACACACCAGGGCTGAACCTCCCCTGTCCTTGGCGCATGCTCAGTAACCTTCCTTCATGCTTACAATGGGGCTGTTGAGTTCGGCACCTGGTAGGTATGTATGAGCAATCACAGGCCAATTCAGATAAGAGTTTGGGAGTATTCTAGCCACTGCTCACTGAAAACATACAGGGAAGAAAGTAAAGGAAGTACCTAGGAACGTATCCTGCTTAAGAATATAAACTTAAGATCAAAACTCTTTGCCTTTGTTTGTACTAGCCAGAGTAACTACTGGGAGAAGATCATGTTTCTGGTCACTTGCTAGTGATATTTAAACTTGCCTTGGATGTGAAATAGGCAAGGTGGGCTACCAGCGATTTTTTTTCCTTCTTGGCTCTCCATTGCTACCCTCCTCTGTGGGTTCTTGTCATGTACCGCTCACTCTTCTAAGTTTTAGATTAAATCATAAGGTGACAGTGTCGTAGTCCTGCCACCTCTGAAATATGGATGTGTCCATAAAGAGTCCTTCAGTGGAAATGGGAAAAGTTAAATAATTCTTCTGCTTTTGTTTGTTCTGTTTTGTTGTTGTTGTTGTTGTGTTTTGGTTTTGGTCCTTGCAACTCTTTGCACTGATATGAGCAGCACATACTTTGAATGGTCCCAGAGAAACATACGGCGAGGATCCAACAGTGCCAGCTCGCTTACAATGTTTTACCTCCATGAGAATCAAAACTACACAAGGTAGGAGTATTAAAAAAATGACAGGAAGGAGATCCAGCATCTAAGTTTTTGAAATTCCAGAAACTAATTGTGTAGGGTGTAAAATCTGTAAATGGTTGATCCCTTTTCATTGCTCCAGAAGAAAATGAAAACATGCCAAGCTTGATCTTGCCCCAACTAGACTCAAAACCCTAGATCTGGGGTCAATGATTCCTAGGAGGCACTCAGAGGGGATGCTATGGGGGCATGTTATGCTGCTGTTGATGGAATAATGATAGCTGCTATTAATTATTTTATTATTATTTATTTTATTTATTAACATTATGAAATTGTTGCTGATGTTTCATGAGATGTTACTATATTGAAAGACAACATGGACCAGGGTAGGATGCTTGACAGAAGGTTAGGACTGTTGGGTTTTATTCTTGGATCTGCTCCTGGTTGACCTAGGGAAAGTTGCTTCAGCACCGTGCCTCAGTTTCCCCATTGATACATTCAAAATTATCACAATTTTATCTACCCGAGGCAGCGTTTTAAGATATAGGCATAAAAAGAGCTTGGTGGTGGTGGTATTGTTATTTTATTACCAAATGTCCAGGCTTGCTATGACTTGGGGTCCCCAAGCAATGCTCCCACCAAACCTGCTCTTACCCTAGCACTGATCACTCATGGCTAAGGAGACCCCCTAAAATTATAAACAGAACCCTAGTAACTTTAACTCTGTCTTGTGAACACAGCAAGATATCAGCAATGGTAACACACACAAACCTGTAGGAGAACATTTTAACTTCCTTGGACATTCAAAAATGGATTGAAAAGTAGCCATTCTTCTACAAAGACATTTTATCACTCAGTTACAGAGAGAAACTGCTGAACTGGAATTCATTTACAAATTTGACAGTATCAGCTTAGGCTTAAATAACGATATTAACTGGTTAATGCACTACAAAGGCAATTTCCTCTTCCTTTGATATTTGCATTTCCACATCAAAAGCTATGAATGGGACACACCCAGCCAGCATCATTAACACTGGTCCTACAATTGACAGGTAATTGCTTTTGCTGTTCTATATACTTTGGATGGGTGGTTTTCAACCTGTGGTCCCCAGAACCATGAGAGTCGACAGATGGTTCAAGTTTTCCACAGGGGACTGCACCTTCATTTGAAATTTTTTAGGAGTCCACAGATTTAAAAAGGTTGGATTCTGGATTCTGTAAGTTCCACTCCAACTCATCCGATGAAGTGGGTTTTACCCACAAAAGCTCATGATCTAATATATGTCTTAATCTCTAAGGTGTCACAGGATTGCTTGTTGTTTTACAATGGGGTGTGTGCGTGTCTCTCTCATTTAAAAGCGCAACCCTCTTTTATAAAAACAGCTCACCCAGTGCGTGGTGAGGGAGATGTGCCTTAGTAGCTGTGGACTTTGTTCACAGTGGGAGATATATTACTTGCTGAATATTTTGAAAAGCAGGAGCTTGTTGTGTGTGTGCATGTGCACTGCATGTGGATGAGGAAATTTGTAGGAAAAAGGTTATCGGACGCCTTAAGGGACGGAAGACCCACAATGGTTAGATCTGGCAGCTGCAACTGTTTGTACTGCAATGTCATTCTCAAAGGATGGATGTGGGAAAGGTAAACAACTGGATTGCTGGATGGAAACATTTTTTAAAAACCCCTCTTTGGGGTTAAAACCCCCCAGTTTCAGTAGTGTTCTAGTCTGGTACCAGTGCATCACATTCCTCCATTGTTACTTTCATCAAGTTTGGCCGATGAATCTTGAGCTGAATTATCTTGTTGAAAGCTGTATCCCTTGAACAAACTCTGTCCTGGTGCAGCAATGCGTTTGACACAGCCGAGAAGATTGAATCTTTCCCCCCCTTCATGATGTATCATAGAATCATAGAATCATAGGACTGGAAGGGACCTCGAGAGGTCATCGAGTCCAGCCCCCCGCCCTCAAGGCAGGACCAAGCTCCGTCTACACCATCCCTTAGACATGTAGTCTATTCCTTGCCAGGGCAAACTTCCTCAGAAAGTTCATCACTACCTAAAGACTCCTGTGTCCCTTTTCAACTTTGCTGTTGACAGGGGGAAAGGATATTATTGACTAGTCCTGCTTTCCTGATCCAATACAAGCTGATTTTTGAAGGGCTGATTACAGATCGTTGACACAGTCATCATCAGTGGATAGCAACAATTAATGATGTAAACAGAAATAAAGAACTATATGTGTCCGTTTACTTTTCATCAAAATATATGGCTCTGTCAAGCTAAAAGTAGCATAAGGCAATGTGAAAGATCCTGAATTCAGTCATTTCTTATATTTTAAGAGCCCATTGCATTATTAAAAGAGAAATAAAATCATTAGGCTACCTATGGTTATATGCTATTTAAATCAGGATAGTACACAAAGAAAATACATCTTACTTGAATCTTAGGGATGTAAATTACATGTAGAGATAAAGTAAAACCTGTTGGATTTTCTTGGGATGAAAAAATACTAGACCCATAAAGAGAAAATAAAACAAAATAGAATAAACCCACTTGTGATACCAAAGCATAAACGACACAAGAAACAAGCAAATACAAATTCCTCACAGTTACCATATAGAAGGATGAAAGAGTTTCAAATGAATGCAGTGGTGCTCAAAAAAAATCAAATACCATCTGAGTAACCTTGATATACAAGGGGGGGAAGAACTGCAGAGTCTTCTTACCTTCTGTAGCTGTGCTGGCAATGTGCAGAGAGAGAAGAACAAGGAAAAGCAATTCCATTATCTCCTATTTTAGATAAGATCAGTGAGGAGGCTAGAATCAATTAGTATGGGATCATATTTCGACTCTGGGAGCTTTTATACAGAAGTGAGTAGTCGTAGTCAGTCTATGGCCATAGTCAGCTCCTCCCCCTTTTTAATTTCTCCAGGTACTCCCTGCTCCTGAGTGGCTTTAGTTTATTAACTGCTCCCAAACTGGAATAAGGGAAAGGCTGAGATTGTTTTTTCAGCCCTGAATTAGAGTCTGGGGCTACAGGACAGATATTTTACTGACTGGGCAGGTATCTTGTCAACTATTAGTTTAGTGTTACATTTTGATCCATTTAATCCGGGCAGTTTCTCAGATCATCCACGTGACCTTTAGATTAAGTGAGAATCTGTCCACTCTGGACCATGCTTTGTAGAATGAAGGAGCTACTTGCTTGGAGCAGGGCTCACAGACTGAAAAAAAGGATGTTTTAGGAGCAATTACAGTCAATTTTTCATCAAGTGCCATATGCATTTTGCCAGGCACTATTGGCCCCTGACTAGGGCAACCAGGGCTGTAACCCAGGATGATGTGCTTCTGGGGGCACATTTGATATGCCCCCATGTTCAGGTGAGAACACAGCCAGGACAGAGGGTGGGTAGGCCTGGATCCTAAGTGTGTGTGTGGGGGGACACAACCCACCCAGCCCCACCCACCCATGGCTACACCCCGGCTCCCAGATGACCTTTCCCGCAGCCAGGTAACTCCTCCAGTGGGAGCCACAGCAGCAGGGGGGGTGCACCTGGGCCAGGGGCTCCCCACTCTCCCGGGATAGAGGCCCCCCTCTAGGAGCCATGTGGGGGGGTGGATCAGGATGTGGTGGAAGAGGCTCGGGGTGGCTGTCTGAGGCAGTCGGGGGAGGGGAGTTGAAGGGGGCGGGGGCGGGTGCAGCTTGTCTGTGCGTTTCAGCTGGCTGGGAGCATGGAGCAGCCCGGCTAACTGAGTGTGTCCTAATGTAGCAGGTCCAGGTCTCCCTCCCTTTCCTCCCCTTCCACCCCGAAGAGCCCCACTTGCCCAGGAAAGGGCTTGCTCTTTCTGCTTGTACTGCCAGCAGGACTGGAGCACATTTTGCTTGGAACAATGAGCTCCATGCCACCCAGGACGCTGCCTGATCCATCCCACCCCTTCCCTGCAGAACGGTGACACATGGGGAGCCATGCACAAAGTCACTTTACCCGCACTCCAATTTTCTGCCAGGACTTGCCTGCCACACTCTCTCCCCCACTGTCCCCTCTTTGCTGGAGGTAGCCTGGGACCAGGACATGAGAGGCAAATAAACAGCACCCGCATTAATAAGCTTCACTCACATGCTCCCCAAGTCAGGCAGGCAGGGGCAGAGGGTGACATATGAGTGTGGCTGAGGCCAGGGCTACACGAGACCTGGAAGGTCAACTCAAGGTACGCCACTCCAGCTATGTAAAATACATAACAGGAGTTGGCTGACCTTACACCGAGCCTGGCGCCATCTTTCCAGAGGGTGGCCAATGGGAGCAATTGCTCCGATCAGCTTTCTTTACTCCTCACGACTACCAGGAGTACTGGTCTGGTGCCAATCGGAGCCTCCCTCAGCATTAGATTTAGTGGGTCTTAGCTAAGCCCGCTAAATCAAATGCCTGAAGATCAATCTCCAGAGTGAAAGCATAGCCTCAGATCAGCTGCCTTCTGCACCTCCTCTTCCCTCCATTTGAACAGAAGTGGGAATGGGTGGTGTCTGCCTGCCTGCTGAGACCTTCTTAAAACCCATTTACCTTTCATTCAGTCCCTGATTTCTATTCCACAATCTCAGGCTCTCTCTCTCTTTTTAACTGTTTCTGTTCCCATTACAAGTGGTACTTAACAGTGTGCTGAAATTCCTTGGGGCAGGGGGCCTTGTCTAAACTGTCGGGCATAGTGTTATGCATATTATTGCTATACTGCGCCAAGATTAAGAATATGGAAACTCCTTTACCCCCCATCTCCTGCAAACCTCCTTCATCCTCTGCAAGTCACTGGGGTTCCTGCTGTGAGTGTGAGGGACTGGGAATGTGTGATTGTTCTGATTTACAGTTTTAATCTGGACCTTAAATGGAGAGAGAACTCTAGTGGGATTATAGGTTCTGTCCTATATCCACTTCCCCATGCTTCAGCACTGCTGCTCTAACTTAGAAATAGGCTTGATCGAATGCACTTCTTATTTTTCATAACTTTAATGGGTGCTATAAATGGTTTGTTTTAAAGCTTTTGGTATTTTTATCATTTTTAATTTTCACGGTTACAGGTTTCGATGTGGGGAGGTCAGATAATTTTTTAGTGAGTAGAAGCTGACATTCAAAGAATTCAAGCTTTCAAGTTGTTAAAACACAGCAATAAGGTGGGTGAGGTAATATCTTTTTTGATTTTGGACCAGCTTTGGTTGGTGAGTGATTAGCCCTTTTGAGGGCTTTGTGGGGTTCCAAAACTTGTCTCTTTCACCAACCATATTTGGTCCAAAGAAAGATATCACCTCACTCACCTTGTGGCTCTCATCTCAGTACCGACATGACAACCACAACACAGCAAAGCCCATGGAGCGTCAATACCCCAAGTCAAGATATACAAACTAAATATCCGAAAACCAGACATGATTTGTTGATTTAACTGTCTTTCACTACTCGGTGTGTAACAAACCCAATTCTGAAGTTTATATCACTGATTTTGGACTCTAGCGAGGTTTTATGCAGCATTTTTCTTACTTTTCCCTATCTGTAAATTGATGGAAATATGTTGGTGGATTTATGTGTGTGTGTGTGTGTGTGTGTGTGTGTGTGTGTGTGTTGAAATCAATAGTTAATTTCTAGGTTATCTGCCCCCACCCCCCAAAAAACTTAGAGTTTTATGATGGCTGTGTCCCCTGGAATCCCAGGTAAAAGTTGCCCTCCCCACAAAAGATTTGAAATGGTACCTCTGGTGAGCCAAGTAGCCAGAGAGCCCTAGGAGGGCCAAGAGATCTGGCAAGATGCAGCTGCCACATGACACTGCAAAAGCTGCCTTGAGTGACAGACCAGGCACTACAAGTCACAGCAGCAATACACCATATATCAGGCCGCCCTTACTTCTGCTCTGCTGCTGGTGCTGGCATTTCCTTCAGAGATGGGCACTCAGCCAGCACCTTCCGGCATCAGGTCAACTTGTCAGTGCTTAATTTGTGTCAGGGCTGAGCTCTGGCATCTCTTTCAATACAGATTACACACTGGAGGAGTCAACGGAGCCCAGAGAGAATGGGGTGGGAGAAGCCCAGGGTGCAAAAAATGCCTAGGATGCAATTTTCCCTAAAGCTGGCCCTGCTTATGTATATATAAATGAGAGCAAAATGTCTGGATTCAGTCTTCCCCTTTTCAACTATAAAAAAGTGACATGACTCTTTGGAGGGCTGTGTTGTGCTATGCAGGTTCTTAGGGCATGTATTCATGCCATGGAAGATAGATGCTGCCATGATCAATCTTCTGGAGTTTGATTTAGCGAGTCTAGTTAAGACTCGCTAAATCAAACTCAGAGGGCACCCCTTGCCGGTATCTGATACTCCTGCTTTTGCCAGGAGAAAGGGAAGCCAACAGGCACATTTGTACCTGTTGGTCTCCCACTGTGGGAACACCATCAAGCTCAGCTTAAGATAAGCCAACTCCCACTATGTATTCTACCCAGCAGGATTTGCATACTTTAAGCGGCGCTGCTGGGTCTAGTGAAGACCTGGCCTTAGACTGCCCTCTCTACTGTAGAATAGGAATTATAGAATTCTAGGGCTGGAAGAGACCTCAGAAGGTCATCAAGTCCAGCTCCCTGCCTAAGGCAGGACCAATCCCAACTAAATCAACCCAGCCAGGGCTTTGTCAAACCGAGACTTAAAAACCTCTAGAGATGGAGATTCCACCACCTCCCCAAGCACCCATTCCAGTGCTTCACCACCCTCCTAGGGAAATAGTTTTTCCTAATATCCAACCTAGATCTCCCCCCACTGATTCAAGATGCCTGATTGACAGACGGGCTTTCGGCTCAGTCAATACAAATGTGATGAACCCTCCTTTGATACAGTGTGTGTGTTCAAACCCTATGGTATTGCATCTCAGTTAAGGCTAGATTACTACCCAGCCATGCATGAAAATAGAAGAGCCTTCCTGTGTCCATTTTAGTGCACTACACAAGGAGAAGAACAGGGGCAGGGATCCTTTGTACTGGGTGGTACATAGTAAAACAACAATAAAAGGCCAGATGCTGCAGCCTCCACTCAGACTGTCCTTGGTCACATCTGCCTTTGCTTTCAGTTGGTGTCTTTCCTGAATAAGGGTTGAGGCCAATAATAACAGCTGAATATCTTCTAGCTGATCTGTGATGCACGGACCTCCCCCAGGAGACGCTGACTATAAATAACGTTGTAACAATGAAGGGTTGTGGAGTGCTTTTATTTCCCATCCCGGATTAGGTAGATTGAAAAAACACAAATGGACAATAATGAACCCAGCACATGGTGCTGAGCTGAATTGTTACTCCAGTGACAATAACAATAAGGGTGGGTGGGTGTATGTGGGTGGGGGAGGTTGATGCAGTTTGGAACTTTCTAATTTGGCAGCTCGTGTGGAGTTTGCTGTGTGAGGAGTTTGCTAAACATATAGGGTGCATCTAGACTGGCAAGATTTTGCGCAAAAGCGTCTGCTTTTCTGCAAAAACTTGCCAGCTGTCTACACTGGCCGCTTGAATTTGCGCAAGAGCACTGACTTTGTAATGTACAAAATCAGTGCTCCTTGCACAAATACTTTCATGCTCCTGCTTGGGAAAAAGCCCTCTTGTGCAAGAATACTTGCGCAAGAGGGCAAATGTAGACAGGGAAGAACTGTTTTGCGCAAAAAAGCCCCAATGGCTAAAATGGCGATCGGGGCTTTCTCGCGCAAAATCGTGTCTAGACTGGCCACGGATGCTTTTGTGCAAAAGCACTTTTTGCTCAAAAGCATCCGTGCCAATCTAGACGCGCTTTTGCAGAAATACTTTTAACGGAAAAACGTTTCTGTTAAAAGTATTTCCACAAAATCATGCCAGTCTAGACGC